GCAGGGGGCTTCAGTCAGAGAGGAAAATTGACCTCCATGAGGCAGGGGACCTCAGTAAGAGGGGCAAAAAGAAACAGGAGGAGACAGAGGACCTTATGATGACTCCATGGAACAGCAGATTAAGGCCCAATCAAGGTCTGTAACTGTAAGCAGTCAAGGAGCTGTACAGTCACTCACTCACACACCACTTATTCACAGAGGCTAAACAATTCCTTCATGAAGTAGCAACAAAAATAATTTTATGGTTGAGGGTCACCACAACATGAGGAACTGTATTCAAAGGTCACAGCATTAGGAATGTTGAGAACCACTGGTATAGAGAATAGTGACTGGTAAGCCTGGACACTCTGATAAGTTCCCATACATAGACACCTGTGTGGCTGAGAAGACAGGTGGCAATTGCCATGGTAGCTAAAGCAAAAGAACAAAATATTAAAACACCTGGTGACAAAAAGGTGAAGTACGAGTAGATCCTACTCCAGAGGACCCACCTTAAATACAAATAAGGCCACGATAACATTTACTGACAAGAGAACTGTTGATCTCAAGGTTCTTACACCAAATCAATTGCTAACTGTAACTTTGCACCTGACAATGCCAAACCCGTACACTGTTCTTAGCCTGGTATCAGCAAAGGTTGCTTGGTTCACTTGTTTGGATTTAAAATATCTCTTCTTTACTATAAGTGGCTCCAGTAAGTTAGAAGCTGTTTGCCTTCAGGTGGGAAGACTTCCAAAATGGAGTTGTTCTACAACACACATGGACTCGGTTGCCACAACGGTTCAAAAACTCCCTACAGTCTTTGGGGAAGCACTGGTCAGAGACTTGTCAACCATTCTTGCACAACAGTTATGGTTTACATTGCTGCAATATATAGATAATTTATTACTAGGCAATGAGACTAGGAAGAAATGTGCTCAAGGAGCTGATATGTTGTTAAAACACTTAGAGAACTGTGGATTTTAAATTTCCTGAAATAAAGCAGGTGATTTGTAACCTCCCGAAGCCAGGTAGCAATTGTGAGAATTTTTTAGGGGAAGTGGTTTCTGTCATCTATGGATCCTGAATTTGGCTGTGCTTGTTAAGCCCTTGTGTGAAGCCACAAAGAGGAGTGGTAAAGAGCCCCTAGTTTGGGAAGCCCTCCGGGAAACAGCTTTCTGAGCCATTAAAGAAAAGCTAATGACAGCTCTGGCACTTGGCCTCCCAGACTTAACTACACCTCTCACTTTGTATGTATCAGAGAGACAAAAGACTGTAGTGAGAGTTTTAACATAGACTGTGGGGTCATGGACTCACCCTGTTGGATACTTGTCTAAACAAATAGATAGAGTAGCTAGAGGCTGGCCAACCTGTCTAGAAGCTTTTGCAGCAACATTTCTACTTGTACAAGAAGCTAATAAACTAACTTTAAGACAAAACCTGATTGAAATTTATTTGTGGATGGTAGGAGTATTATAGGTGCCTTTGGTCATTGAAAGGCAGGATGTGCAATAGTTATGGCCAGTGAAGTAATAATAGAAGCTCAAGGACTCCCGCCTGGGACATCTTCCCCCCAAAAGCAGAAATTATAGCACTCATCAGGGCTCTGGAATTAAGTAAAGATAAGATAGTCAACATTTATACCAATTCAAAGTATGCCTTTTCAACTCTGCATGTGGATGGTACATTGTATAGAGAAAATGGATTATTAAAATCAAATGGAGAACAAATAAAGTATCACTAAGAAAAATAAAAATTATCGAAGGCTATATGGAAAACCTAGTAATGTGGCAGTAATGCATTGCAAAGAATACCAAAAGGGACAATATCATGTTATTTTAGGGAATACTAAAGCTGATGCTGAATCATGCCAAGTAATGGCAAGCCAATGTATATTTACTTCCCTACTACCTTGGGTCCCAAATGTAACACTTGTATACATTAAAAAAGAATTGGAATGGTTATCACAGATCAAGCATTGGCCATAGATGATGATTGGACTTGTTTACTAGATGGAAATATAGTTGTGCCAGAATTATTGAGAACTACTATAGTGCAGGCTGTGCATGAGTACACCAATCTAGGGTACTCCATTCTGGAACAACTATTAGGAAAGTATTTTTGTATAAAACATCTAGCCAGCCAGGCAAAAACAATAAGTCAAAGATATGTCACCTGTAGCCAATTTAACGCCAAACAAGGCCCCCGTCTGCCACCAGGTATTCAAAGTTTAAAAACTACATCCTTTGAAAACATACAAGTGGATTTTACTAAAATGCCTCTAAACAGAGGAAATAAGTATTTTCTGGTATTGGTGTGTACTGACTCAGGATGTGTTGAAGCTTTTCCTATATGAAGGAAAAGAGCCAAAGAAGTCACATGTTTTCTACTTAGAGAAATCATCCCTAAATATGGCCTGCCTCTACATAGCTTCTAACAATGTACCTGCTTTTGTGGCTCGATCTCTGAAGTAGTAAGTAAAATACAAACTCCTGTGTATACCACAACTTCTATGCCATGGGGAAATCAAGTTTAATTGCCCTACCCCACTATTTGGACAGAATCTTAAGGCTAAGTTAAACACCTAACTCCTTTAACATTGCAGGGCGGGGGAAGGGGAGATCAGAGAGAGAGAGAAGAAGGGAGGACATGGGGGAAAGGAAGAGCCAAGGGAGGGAAGGAGGGAGGGGTGTGGGGTCTCAGTGTGTGACACACCTTTTGAGGGCAAGGCCCAATTATAAGAAGGACTTTACCTAACAAATGCAATCAGTGTAACCTGGTTTCTTGTATCCTCAGTGAATCCCCAATAATTAAAATAAGAAAAAAGACTCTTAGGCTTAAGCGATTCTCTTGCCTCAGGCCCAGTTAGCTACAGGTGCCCGCCATGATGCCTGGCTATTTTTTTTTTTTTTTTGTAGTTGTCATTGTTGTTTTAGCAGGCCAGGGCAGGCAGAATTCAAACCCGCCAGCTCCAGTGCATGTGGCCGGCGCCCTAACCACTGACCTATCAGTGACGAGCCCATTACATTATGTTTGATATCTAGCATTTAATTTTTCATTCCTTCTTACAATATTTATCTCCCTGTTTGCCTTATTTATTTTTTATGTCATCCACTTTTTCGTGAGAGTTTTTAGCATATTAATCATAGTTGATTTAAATTATTGGTCTGATAATTCCATCATTTTTTGCCATATTCATGTCTGGCTCTGGTGTTTACTCTGTCTCCTCAAACTGTGTTTTTGGTATTTTATTATGTCTTGTAACTTTTTGTTGAAAGCCCAATGTGATGTACTGGATAAAAAGATCTAAGCTTTAGTGTGAGGTTCTATTTTTATTTAGCTAGGAGTTTACTGTTCGCAATAAATACACATTGATGTCAGAGGCTAAAATTTTCTCTGATGTCCTTGTTATTGTCTTCCTATGGTCTACAGAGTTTCCTAGAGATTTGTACCTCAGTATGGTCTGAGACATGCAGTTCTTTCATTCTATCCCTCTATTTAAATGATGGGAAGATATTGAAATAAAGCATTCCATAATGCTTTGATTAGGTCTCATTCTTTTAGTGAGCCTGAAATTTTGGACTGTAACATTTACTAGTATTTCTCAGTTTTTGCTCTCCTCTTAGGTGCGATAGGAGGGGTTTTTATCCTTCCTTAGGCTTTAGTGGAACCCAATTAGTAAAAATCTGGTGAAATATTTTCCCTGGAAGGTAGGCCTTGTTTAGAAGAACAGAAAGTTCTGGTCACATTTCAAAATATCTATTTTTTCCCTGTCCTGCTGGGAGTAACAGGGGATTTTTCTCATTTATTCACTGTAAGAAACTTATAGTTCAGTGAAGTAAAACTCATAGAAGGCTGTGCTTCCCCTTTGTCCACGCTGAGCTTTCAGAATTCATAACTGACAGTTTCACTTTTCCTATTTCTGTACTGGCTCCAGTGGATATTTTTGCTTTTAGGTTTCTTCTCTAGTAAACTATGATTATGTCTGTTTGTCTGTATCTTCAATAATCAGGGCAACAGCTTGCTATATGACCTGAATTCTTTTTTTTTTTTTTATTAAATCATAGCTGTGTACCTTAATGCAATTAGAGGATACAATGTGCTGGTATTATATAGAATTTGAAATATTTTCATCAAACTGGTTAATATTGCCTTTGCAGCATTTTCTTAGTTATTGTGTTAAGACATTTATATTCTACATTTAGTAAATTTTCATAGACCCTTGTAAGATGCACCATAGGTGCGGTTCCACTGATTACCCTCCCTCCCTCCATCCTCCCCTCCCCTTCCCTCTCTCTCTCCCCTTTCCCCATATTTTGGGCTATAATTGGGTTATAGCTTTCATATGAAAGCTATAAATTGGTTTCATAGTAGGGCTGAGTACACTGGATACTTTTTCTTCCATTCCTAAGATACTTTGCTAAGAAGAATATGTTCCAGCTCCATCAATGTAAACATGAAAGAGGTAAAGTCTCCATCTTTCTTTAAGGCTGCATTATATTCCATGGTGTACATATACCACAATTTATTAATCCATTTATGGGTCGATGGGCACCTGGGCTTCTTCTATGACTTAGCAATTATGAATTGGGCTGCAATAAACATTCTGGTAAAAATATGCAAACTAATATGTTCCTTTTGGAAGGATGTTTGGAGAACACTTAGGGATCTAAAAATAGACCTGCCTACAATTCCTCTACTAGGTATATATCCAGAAGCCCAAATATGACCTGAATTCTTGAATGAATCTAAAAAGAGCTGTTGAATTTCAATTTGTTCAGTAACTTCTTTTTTCTGTGAAAATGGAAATGACAATATCTAAGCTTCTTTTTCATTTCAGATTAATGTGAGGGTATAAACAACTAGGATACAATGTTTGCATTTGTTAGATTGAGTCCTTCTTGTCTTTCACGGCATACTAGAACCTGGAGGTCAGTTCATTCTTTTTTTTCTTTTTTACATAAACCAGTAACATAGAAGTTTATTATCAAGAAGTTCTTTCCTTTTGCTACTGCGGTCAGAGCCATCAGTAAGTTCAGGCTTCAGAAGAGGCTTGCCTCTAGTGTCCTCCATTGTGGCAAAAAGAAGGTCTGGTTGAACTCCAATAAGATTAATGAAATAGCCACTGCCACCTCCTGTCAGCAGATCCAGAAGCTGATCAAAGATGGGTTGATTATCCACAAGCCCATGACTGTCCATTCCCAAGCTCCATGCTGGAAAAACACCTTAGCCCGCCAGAAGGGCAGGCATATGGACATAGGTAAGCGGAAGGGTACAGGCAATGAAAGAATTCCTGATAAAGTGACCTGGGTGAGGAGGATGAGGATTCTGCATCGGCTGATGAGAAGATACCAAGAATCTAAGAAGATTGACCACCACATGTATCACAGCCTATACCTGAAGGTGAAGGGGAATGTGTTCAAAAACAAGCAGATTCTCATGGAATACATCCACAAGCTGAAAGCAGATAAGGCTCACAAGAAGCTCCTAGCTGAACAGGCTGAAGCCCGCAGGTCCAAGACCAAGAAAGCACGTAAGCATCATGAAGAACACCTCCAGGTCAAGAAGGAGGAGATCATCAAGACTCTGTCCAAAGAGGAAGAGACCAAGAAGTAGAACTCTCCCCCTCTTGTCTGTAAATAGTGGCCTCCATGACTGATGATCAATCATTTAAATAAAACAAGCCTTTATCTGGTAAAAAAAAAAAAAAAGAGGTTTATTATCAAGTCGCATGCACTATATATAATTGTATGTGCTATACTTATATATGATTGGCAATACAGGTTTGTTTATACCAACATCAGTACAAATAAGTTAGTAACAAATTGCACTATGACATTATAACATCACTAGGTGATAGGAATTTTTCAGCTCCATTACAATGTTATGAGACCACCACTGCACATGTGGCTTATTATTGGACACTGCAAAGGCCATCCAATACATGCCCACATTTCAAAAACAGAAGTAGTGAATATAAAGAACCTAATTAATCACCTCAAGGAACTGGAAAGGAAGAGAAATGCAATTTAAAACATAGGAGAAGAAAAGAAATAACCAAAATTAAATCAGAAATAAATGAAACTGTAAACAAAATAATCATTCAGGAAATTAATAAAACAAAAAATGGTTCTTCAAAAAGGTGAACAAAATCAATAAACCTTTGGCAATATTAACTAAAAACAGAAAAGTAAGATCTCTAATAACCACAATAAGAAATGAAAGGGGGAAATACCAACAGATACTACAGAGATATAAGAGATTATCTCTGACTACTACAAGAAATCCTATGTCAAGAAATTTGACAATGTGGAAGAATTGAATGAATACCTGGAATCACATCATCTCCCTAGACTTAACCAGTGTGAAATAGATCTCTTGGACAGATGAACATTAAGCACCAAATTTGAAGCAACAATAAAAAATTCCTGAACAAAAAAATCCTAGGACTTGACAACATCACAATCCTATCAAACATTCAAAGAACTTCTACTTTTACTGCAGAAACCATTCCAAAACATTGAGAAGAAAGTAATCCTCCCTAACACGTTCTATGAAGCAAACATCACCAGGAAAGGACCCATCAAAAAATGAAAACTATAGGACAATTTCACTAATGAATTTTGATACAAAATATTCAATACTCAATAGAATCCTAGGAAATAGAATAAAGATACATATTCAAAATATATATACATCATGATCAAATAGTCTTAATAGTGGCATTCAGCAGCTTTGACTCTCAACCTGAATTCCCAGTCTCAGGTTGGGGGAAACTGGGTTAGGTGGGTCACTCAAGGCTCATACCTTCTTACCAGGCTGAGCAGAAACAAGAACTCACCTCACCAAATAGGGAAGCAAAACAAAACAAAAACAAAATCATCGGTTTTCCACTAGCATGCTTCCAATGGCCAAAGCTAGAAGGAGTCCCTACACCAGGGGATTAAGTTCTTTTTAAGCCAGGCAAAAGCTGTGGCATTCCATCCTGGGCCTCAGAGTGAGGCTCTGTTCTATAAATGGAATACATATTTACAAAGAATGAAACATATTAGAAAAAAAATAATAGAAGTATATAAAGAGTATTGAAAATAAAATGATATCGGCTTTAAAAAGGGTGGTATATCTTACTTGTTATTTGAGAAATTTATGTGGGAAAGATGAAAAAAAGTACTAAAGTATTTACAGAGAGAGAGGGAAAAAGAGAGAAATGGAAATGAAAGAAAGAATGAAAAAGGTAGAAATCTGTAACAATAATGGAAACCTTGTTATTGAAGAAAGTAAAAATGAACTAATAAAAATACTGTAAAACAAAATAAAACAAACAAACAAAAAATCTTAAGGAATAAAATTGGGGGGAAAAAACAACAATGGAAGCAGAAAAACTAGCAAAAGTGAAGCCCTTACTGTTGAAGAAGGAAAAAATGAAAAATTGTAATTACTAGAAAAGAGAAAAAATATTTGGGGAACAAAAGTTGAAAAGGAATTTTTTTTAAAGTAAAATGTGTGTGTGTGTGTGTGTGTGTGTGTGTGTGTGTGTATGTGTGTTGCCATATGTTGCCTGGGCAACAAATGACATTGTAGGGTAAGAGATGCTAATCACGGTGCTGATACAGCTGAATAAGATTGAAGGTGGAAGCCTCTGTCTTACTGAAGAGACCTGGCTCTGTCTTCCTGATTTCTTTGTTCACAATCCCCTCAGTGTTATGAGCCTGAAGTTCTCATCAGCCTGCTTAATAGACACACCTCTGCTTTTCAAAACTGTGTCCTTTGACCATGCAGTTGTTTTCCCAGGAAAGCACGTGTTGCTCAAATCTCCCCAGGGGTGGCTGCCCAGCTTATCAGGTGCACCAGAACTGGCCTTGCACTAGGACCCTGTGGGCTCATTCTGCAATCCAAGTCTCCCACAATGGCTGCAGCTAGTCTGTAGCCAGACAACAAGAGCTCTGCTCCACCTAATGGCTCAGTCCCAGCCCTTGGGCTCTGTTTCCAGATCACTCACTCACCCAATCTCTCCCAAAGTAACTCCCAAAGCATCAAACCTGCCTGTTTCTGCTAGCATGGAAGTACTCACCCTCTGTGCCACTTCTCCTCTGCTCCCTACCTCCTCTTGGACTCCTGAAGAAGTCTTCAGATGCCTCCCTGTGCCTGCAAAGTGATGTTTCTGGGCAATCCCCACCAGCCAGAAGTGGCTGGATTCATTCCTCCCTGATCTCACCACACGCAGCTGCACCATCTTACTCTGCCTCCAATCTCTTTCATGATGTAGAATTTTTAAATGTGTATGTGTAATGTATTGGCTGAGATTTTATTCAGTGTTTTTTGATCTATATTCATTAGTGAAAGTGATCTGTAGGTCTTCTTTTTAGTTGGGTCCTTTCCTGGTTTAGGTATCCAGGTGATGTTTGCTTCATAGAACATGTTGGGGAGGATTTCCTCCTTCTCAATGTTTTGGAATAGGTTGTGTGATGTAAGTACAATAACTTCTTTGAGGTTTGACAGAATTCTGCTGTAAAGCCATATAGTCCAGGGCAGGCAGAATGGGAACCAAAGACCCCATTTTTGGCAAGGGAAAAAAACAACAGAAAAACAGAGAAATAAGCTGATCAAGGTGGAATAAAAACAGGTTAGCTAGTTCACTTTTAAATCAGCTGCTATATTCCTTATCTGAGCAGTTTCTGCTTTTCCTAGAAGCCTGGTCTGTAGGGGATACAGCTTTTGAACACCCCCTGCTGGGTCTATGAACACTCTGAAGAAACAATGGCTACAGAGGGAGTTGCTTGCAAGGCCTGCCAAAAGACATCAACTAGGCTATTTCCTGCCCAGTCAACAGCCAAAGCAAATACCCATTGTGGAGATTTGTATTTGGCCAGGGCAGAGATCAAGGGAACAGATCAAGCCCTTAAATATGGGTAGGAGAGCTTGTATAAGTTATCACAGAGGAAGATGCCTCTGTGGAAGAGATGCGAAGAAAATTTCTGTTTCCCACTGATTCTTCAGAGGAGACTGACACCAGTGGTGTTTTATTCTACAGTGAACCAGTGGGTTAACACCCCCCCCAAGGAATCTGTGTGTGTAAATACAGATAGGAGGCTGTCCCTACACAAGGCTCAGGTTTAAGATTTATCAAGGCTTCTCAGGCCCTCACAGTTAATGATTATAGAAACAAAGCTGATGTGCTTACAAAGAGAAACTGCTGACATTTTCATTCCCTTCCTCAGTTTACCCTCTAGACTAGTGAGGGAATAGCCTTCAATAAAACCTGAGTGTAATATTTGGGGCCATTCACCAGAGTGGGAAATGGCCCCCTGTGTTTCCCACCTTTGAAAAATCTATTCTGTGTGTCCTCTTTGTCTTTCACTACTTCTAACTTTACTTTATTCCAGTTGACTGCCATCAGCTCCACAGGTCTTAAATGACCCTGCCCTCGGGGTGGGACCCCAGCAGTCCAGTATTTTGTTGTTGTTGTTGGAAGATTTTTTTTTTTTTTTGAGACGGAGCCTCAAGCTATCCCCTTGGGTAGAGTGCCATGGCATCACACTCACAGCAACCTCCAACTCCTGGGTTCAAGCAAGTCTCCTGCCTCAGCCTCCCAAGTAGCTGGGACTACAGGCGCCCACCACAATGCCTGGCCATTTTTTGGTTGCAGCCATCATTGTTGTTTGGCGGGCCCGGTGGGGATTCAAACCCGCCACCTTAGGTGTATGTGGCTGGCGCCTTAGCCGCTTGAGCCACAGGCGCCGAGCCTGTTGGAAGATTTTTTAATGTATCTTCGGTCTCAGTGCTTAATATTGGTCAGTTCAAGAGATGTATTTCTTCTTGGTTAAGTCTAAAAAGATGGTCTATTTCCTTCACATTGTCAAATTTCTGGGGAATAAGTTTTTATACTATCCAGACATAATCTCTTGCATCTATGTTGTTATTTCTATCTATTTTCTATCTGTTGTTTCTCCTTTTTCACTTCTGATTGAGGTTATTAGAAATTTTACTTTTATGTTTCTAGTTAATCTTGTCAATGGTTTATTGATCTTGTTTATCTTTTCAAGGAATTAACCATTTGTATCATTAATTTTCTGTACAATTCTTTTGTTTTAAATAAAATTCATTAATTTTGGATATACTTTTGGTTATTTCTTTTCTTCTGCTAGGTTTAGGGTCAGATTACTCTTACTTTTCCATATCTTGAAAATGATTCATTAGATTATTTATGTGCTTTCTTTCTGTTTTTTGGATATAAACATCTAGTGGGATAATTTACACTGTTAGGACTGTTTTTGCAGTAATCCACAGGTTTTGGTAACTTGTAGATTCATTGTTATGTTTGAGGATTTAACATTTTCCTCCTTTATCTCTCCTCCTTTATCTCTTCTTTGATCCACCTATCATTAATCATAAGATTGCTTAATTTCCATGTCTTTGTATGGGGATGAAAATTTTGTTGGAGTTGAGTTTCACCTTTATTGCCTTGTGCTCAGAGAAAATTTAAGGTACAATTTCAATTCTTGAATTTTGTGGAGGATTGATTTGTATCCTAAGATATGGTCTATTTTGGAGTATGTTCCATGGACTAGTGACAAGAACACATAGTCCCTAGAATTGGGAAGATGTGTTCTGTATATGTCTATAAACACTTTTGTTGTAGGGTT